CAAAAAAAAAAAAAAAAAAAGGTGGTCTCTGTCCCGCCTTTCTACCTCTACCTGTGGTTTATTCTTCCTGTCCTCAGAGGACTTCTCCCCACAATAAAATTTTTTTTGCCGCCTTTCCGCTTCATTTTCCCCAGGCAGGCCCCAGCTGGTTGTTGACTCATACCATCTGCTCCACTAACAGCTCTGAGGAGAAGGGGCCTTATCCCTTGGAGTGTTTCTCTAGGAACGTAAGACGTTTTGAGAATTGTCAGGTGCGTGGAGTGCCAGGTAGGAGCAGGGGAAGAGGAATAGACAGGGACAAGGGGGAAATGCTTAAAGAAAGTGGAAGCTGGGAGCACACACACACACACAGAGGGATGGATGGATGGATGGATGGATGGATGGATGGATGGACGGACAGATGGACAGACGCACATATTTTCCAAGAGTGTATGAAGGTTCCTGGCATTTTTTATGGTGATGCTCTGCCATTGCAGGTATGATACTACAATATACAAATAATGGAGAAAAGGGAAAAACATGGGTGCTTCTTTATTGTGCTTCTTCTCCTTACTCCCAGCCACACTTCCCCACCCTTGCTGGTCTCAACCCCAGGCTCCCAAGCAAGCTTGGTCCCTAGACTGCATTGGCAGGGAAGAGCAAGGCCTTAGTTAGAGCAGGGTCTGCTCTAAAGAGCGCTCAGAGATCTGAATGCCTAGCAAGTTCCTGTGTCTTAAGTCTGTCTTCTTGAGAGGCAGGAAGCCGGAGGGAGAAATGATCCCTGAATTTGAGTCTTGGTCTTGGTGACGGTCACAGTACCACAGCAGAGAAGCTGCAGCCCTACTGTATCACAGGCTACTGTGAGGACCAGGGGAGACAGAGACACTTACTGCCAGGTACCTTACTGACAATTGGAGCTGTGTGCCTCTTCCAGACCAAAGCAGTGTAGGAGAATCTGAGGTCTTCGTGGAATTACAGACACAGCCTTGAAGAGTGGAGAAAAACATTAAATGACTCAAGAGGACATATTCAAGATCAGAATGTGGGGGAAGATGATGGATATACACAGTAATATAAATTAGGTCAGTTTATCCATCTTGGTATATATGCGTACTTCAAAACATTGTATTTTACAAGATAAGTACATACACTCTTATTTGTTAATTTTGCCAAATAAATTATTTACATTTGAAAAAGAAAAAGCTTTGATATGAGAAGTCTCCTAAGTCAAAAGATCTGGTATTCTCAATAAGTAAGATGCAGGGACGAAGGAAGGAGACTCTTGCCGGTGAGAAATGTCTCAAGACACCAGGCACCAAGAGCCATGGCCACACTACTGTTTGGATACTTTTCAAAAGAAATTGACTGTAAGAAGATGAGGCTCTTACAAACCTGAGCACTGAGTAGGCATGGAATGGTGGAATATTTCATTCCTATGCGTGATTCCCATGGACTTGTGTTTCTGGGTTCTTAAAGCAGAAAGAAAGGAGGCCTGTTTTGACCCGTGTAACATAAACATCTCTATGACTTGCAATAATGCTCTGAAGAGACGAATGTGCTTCAGTTAAAAGTGGAATGTGCTTCAGTTAAAAAGAAAAGTGTAGTTATTGCCAGTGGCCCTAAGGAGCCCATCACGGTGATGCCCCCGAAACAGCAGGCTTTGGGTACTATGGGGGAAAAGTGCTGCAGTACAAGGCCTTTATCAGTGACTTGTAGTAAGACTTGCCAAAAGTGCTGGACCATTGAACTTTAAAATGCTTTGGCTAGCTCAAAGGCTGGACAGTTCTAATCCTCTCCCCAGCTAGCACACATTTCCCTCCTGTAATCCTGGCTTAACACCCTCTAATTCTATATTTTATCTTTGTTGCCCTGGCTCCTTCTGAGCAGCTCTCTAGTCTTTGCTGGTCAAGATGCTTCTGGGCAGCCCTTCCAGGAGCCACATTTCTTCTCACCTACATTTCGGATGACTTTCCTTCTGTAGCTCTAAATCTGATCCATCTCTGTGGGAAAAAACACGAGGTCCAGGGCAGAATCCCCAGACTGTGTGGCGAGTCCCAATAACTCGAGGAGATCTCGAGTTCCAAGTTTATTGTTCATGGTGTGGTAGTTGGATCTGCGCCCCCACTCCACCCCCACCCCCACCCCTAGTTCAGCCAGAGGAGAGCTGGCTTAAATAGAAGGGGGGAAGAGGAAAGACTGGGGAGGAATAACTTAATTGAGCAGTGCCCCCTGGCCTTTAGATAACTCATGAATATGGAAATCTCTCGAGGCTGAAGCCTGTTAGTCACACCCTCTCCCTGTAGCTGTAGATGGTGACGCAAAACCTCTCTGGGAGGAGCTACTCTGAGCCAAAAGTGTGTGCAAGGCGTGGGCTAATGGGGATGTAGGCTGCATGGAGAAGTCTGGAATCTGGGGACATGGGGAGATACGTGCCACCCCTCACAGTCCATGGTCACCTGTTGGGTCTCCGGCTATCTCAGACACAGTGCTCTACTGGGGAGACCAAATCATCCCTTCACGACCCTACACATCTCCCTCCCAATCATGGTGATTCTCTGTCCTTTTCTCCCAGTTCCTTGCCCGCACAAATCTGAAAGTCCCACCTCAGTCTGTCTGTCCAGCCATTGGCCATTGGCTCTTTATTAGTTGATCAAAAATGAATTGGGGACAAGGACATTCAGTGTTTCGACACACGGAGTCCCAATTTTGGGGGCCTGATTAATTCAAAGCATTGGAACCAATCCTCAACATAACTGATTGTTCACTATTTTTCACTAAAGAAACCAGTTCATTCTAGTTAGTTTGGGGTGTTCCTACTTTCAGCTCTGAAAATCTCACATCAGGAAACCCATCTATTTCCAGACAAACATGGAAGGTTAGTCACGTTAGCGTCCATGGTTATGTGGAAAATTGCATTTACCAATAACAAGGCAGCAGAACTTAACTAGAGAAATTATGAGCTCCAGGCTTAATAATGAGTCTGAAAAAGAGGCCATTGCCAGGACCTGTTTACTATCCAATAAATATCAAACCTGAACAGTAGCCCCATCCACTCAAGACCTTCCCCAAGCCTACACCCCAAGTGACTTCCTCCCTCCTCTGTTCTGCTAGAGGGAGCCTGCAGATGCCATTCCGAGTCTGACCAGTAATTTCAAGTGCTTTAGGTAAATTTTATGCATGCATATGTGTATGCATATATTATGAATACATAATCCACATATATATTCTTTAGGTAATTGCAATATGCATCTTCTCATTTATTCCTTATTAAAATTTCATGGTGGGAGCCAGCAAGGTGGCTCAGTAGGTAAAGGTGCCTACCACCAAACCAGCATTCAGGGTTGGCCTGAGTGGTGGGAAAAAAAAAAAACTACTCCCAACTCTGGCAAGTTGTCCTTTAGGAGTGTACCCTCCTCAACTACACACACACACACACACACACACCTGCTATATACAAAACAAATAAATGTATTTTAAATCAGGGATGGTAACATCTAATAAATAAATGAGTCCATTAATAAATTAAGGCTTAGAGAACTAATTTGTGTACAGCCAAAGAGAGAATAGCAATATACCTCATTATATACCACATGGGGTTTTGTAGTAAATAGTGAATTATTATATAAATAAAATGCCTAGAATAATAACTAGCATAGAAGAAGCCATGGATTAGGCATTAACTCTTAGTGATGGCTACTTCTGCACCACGTAGCCACACCCTGAAGAAGGAAAAGAAAACACAGAAATATGAATTTAAAGAAAAATAAGTTCTTGTTTGCATTGCAAAACAACTTATCCCAGGGATCCTTGGCACTTGATACCCTCAGTCTCATAAGCTGATCTGGGAATAGAGTAAGAGAAGCCTACATCAGAAAAGTGACATCCACTAAATCCTTCAAAGTCACTCCCTGGACCCCTTAGTCTTCCTTCCTTCACTTCCCAAGCTGAAGCTTTCAACTTTCATGGAGGGACCAAGCATTGATGACATAGCCAAACCCTCCCCTCCCATCTTTTCAAGTCATGGAAATCAAAATGCCTGAGATGAAAGAGCCTGTCGCTTCGACTTTGACTGTCCTTAGGCTTTCCTCATGACTCTTGGGAAACTCCACAGAGGAGCCCCCAGTGTACCCTTGCTAGTAGCAAGGTCCCCCTCCTGCCCCACTAGTAATGGTGCCCATCTTCTCTGAATAGCTGGGAGAAAGACAGCCATTAGTTTGGCCACCAGAATCTTAAATAATATTGTCAATCACAGGATATCCATCAACATCTTGAAAACTGGCATCCCATCAGTTCACACCAGCTTCCCCCCAGCACAGGCTGATGGGGCTAAAGAGTGGAAGTCTTTCTGCCACTTGCCATGATTTGCTTGCTTATCTTCATGATTATAACTGGCATCTCACAAAAAGAGCAATAGGAAACTATTGGGCTGGATGGGAGAAGCAAGAAGGAACTTCTTTACCCCCATCCCCAAGGGAGATGTCTTGGCTCCTGGTATTTTATAATGAAGGGTACCCATCATGAGTGTGAGTACCGGGATGCTCCCAGAGGTACTCCTTTCATCTTGGAACTAAAATTGTTCCCTAACTCAACACATAGCTCTCCAACATCCAAAGCAGGAAGAGAGGTCCAGATCTCACTATCAATACTGCCCCAAACAGAGCTTTGGCAGGTTCTGAGCCAGGCATAACATGCAACCCACCACCACCACCTCACATCTCCCCCAACCCAGAACCTCCAAGGCTTGCTGAGCCTAGGTCAGGAGCCTCCCTGCCCATGCACCGCCAGCCAAATACACTCTTCTACTGAAACTCAAAGGCACACTGCAAAAAAGCTTCATTAATTTTTCACAAGGCTTGTCTAATAGTGGCCGAGCAGAGCTGAGAAAACCCGTTCTAATGCCTGTGCCAGCAGGTTGCAAAGAGTTAACCCATTAGGCCACATCCTGGTGAGCTCATCCCTGCTGGAGCCTGCTCAGTGGCTGCGATTTGCAGCACACTGATGTGGCCAGGGTGGCTTTCTCCAGCTGGGATGAAGGACTTGAGCAGAAACTCGTTGCCAGTTTCCTCTGTGCATGAGAGCGACTGAGTCCCAGGTTCCCCATCTTCCCCTGGGACGTCGTGCACAGTAAGTAAGAAAAAGGAACCCTCCACCCCCACCCCAGCCCCAGCCCTTTGCTGTGTCTCCCTGGAAAGAAAGGAGGTTTGAAGTTTGCTTTGGAGTATATTAAGTCTCTGAAGTAGAGTTGGAAGGCAGAGTGAATACCAGAGATGAGATGGAATGAAGTTAGCTTCCTGCGGGCTGGAGGGGCTGCCCTGAAAGACAGGCAGAAGTGGGCTGAGCTGAGTATCTCGTGCTGTACATCTAGGCAAAGACAGCATGTGTAGTGAGGGCTGCCGGGCTTGTGGAGCTTCTAGCCTTTCTCCCTCGGAAGCCATTAAAGGTATGGAGTGAACGGGTGCAGAAGTGCCAGCTTGTGAAATGCAAGGACACCCATAGACCTCAGAGTGCTGGTCACAGACTGTCTGTCCCCTGGGCATCCTCCATCCAGCCTCAGCAGCTGCAGATCTGTTCCTCCTTCCTGCAGGTGTGGCCGGCGCCCTGGGTGAGTGCCAGGGAAACAAGGTGGAGTAGCCTGGCTTGGGCAGTCTTCACTTCTGAAAGGAGGAAGCAAGACAGGTACATAAAAACACAAAGGCATGGCTTGCTCAGACAGATGAGGGCTACGGGACTCCGCCCCTCTGTAAAGCCAAGTGTAACAATACATCACATCCCCTGAGATGTTTTTTCTAGCCTGTAGCCCACAGAGGGCCCATGTGCTGTTGTGTGACCCAAAGAGGAAGGTGAGTGACTCCCTCCAGATAGCTCTGACCTTAGAGAAAAAAAAAAAAAGATCCTATTTCTGAGAGTGCTGTGAGCTGGGAACAGATGGAAGCTGTAGCAACAGCAACAACATATTCCACACTCTCTAGCCTCTACTTTATCAGGCCAGGCACAGGGCCACACACACCTTATCAGGGGAGTCGACATCACCAAATGAACTCCTGGAAGTGAGGCAGTACAGCAAGAGGAGATAAAGCCCCTGGGGATGTGCATCAAGCCCCTGGAGGAGAGCAGTGACAGTGGGAAACTCAGGGAGAGAGAGACCTACTCCCCATCCATATTGGGTCCTACTTGGGATAAGGAGACCATTGCCGGTCCACTATGCAAAGCCTTTCACACTCCCCACCAGCCTAGCCATTCTGAGGTCATCTGTGCCCTCGTCTCTCCTCAGTGTCACCAGGTCCTTGCAACTCCCAGAATAGCCCAGTTCCTATCAGTGCTCTCTAGATGGAAGGGTCTGGGGAGGAGGGACAGAGGAGTCAGATAACTCCAGGCTTGAGTGCAGCAACACAGTGGGGCCTCTCTTAACTTTAAGGCAGCTCAATGTGTTGTGAGTGGATGCCCGGTTTCACTTGAATTTTTGGTAAACAGTGGGTGAGTTTTTAGTATGTGATATCCAAATAAGTGTCAGATTATTCTAATCCTAAAAAAATGTATCTATTGATTCAAAAACAAATTCAGCTGAGTACTTTGTTATTTCATTTACTACACATAAGAACCCCATTCACAGGAATGCAGGGCTGACGAGTGAATTCTAAAGCAAAGACGGGCAAATAATGATGCGTTTTTAAAAAGGTAAAGAAAGAAGGGATATGTTCTATGGGGGTGTGGCAAGGTATGGGGGAAGGGGATGTCTCAGCGGGCCCATGCTGAGGCATCCCTTCCCCCTGAGGAACCAGACATATAACGGTATAAGGTATAGTATAGAGTTTATTCAGGGAATGGGGAGGGGAGTTAAGAGGGTAGTAGAGGCAGAGAAAGGCAGAGAGAGAGAGAGAGAGAGAGAGAGAGAGAGAAGAGAGAGAAGAGAGAGAAAGAGAGAGCGAGTAGAGAAGTGAAGGCCAGCCATGAGCACGTGGAGGTGGGGAAAGGGAATGGGGAAGTGGTGAGGGACAGAGCAGGGGCAAGAAGGCAAGAGAAGAACGAGAGAGGGAGGAGGGGACAAGTAGCACCATTTATAGTGGGTCAGGCCTATAACTGTGAGATGGAGCATACCTGGCTGTTGCCAGGTAACTGTGGGGGTGGAGCTTAGACCGAACGCTAACAAATATAGAGCAGCAGGATTCTAGGGGTTGGGGGTAGGCAGTGAAGAAAAAAAAGCCAAGTTCCATCCCCTAGAAAGAATACAAAAGACTAGAGGTCAAGTGGCTGGGAGCCTCAGTTTCCTAATATGTAAATTGGGAATGATGCTGTGTCCACCCTACAAGGCTAAGAGGACTCAGAGACTCTCCAACTAAAAAGCAGCAGATGTCAGAAACAGTATCCTCTGTGGTGATGGTGGCCACTTTGTGGCAGCTCTGTCATAGGCCTCTTGCTCTCCACTGAGCCCAGCTCAGGACCTGCCATCTCATCCCACGGTTCCTCAGCTTATCACAGCTCACCCTTCACCCAGACACCACGGCGATTCTGTTCACTGACCGTGCTCCAGTTCAAGTGCCCTCCTTCCTCACTGATCCTTCAATTTGAAAATGTAAAACAAAAGTGCCACCCAGAGGGCAAGATCAGCCTGAACCTGGGTGTGGGAGCCGTAGACACCCAAACTCATATGTCAGCTTTGTCTTTCTGATCGCCTAATTGCTTAACACTCTCTGATTTGCAGTTTCTCAATTGTGAAATCAGGGGTGGGGCACCTCCCTCGGTGACTTGCTAGAAGGACTTGGTAAGGCAAAAGAGGACACGCCTGGCGTGTAATGAAAGAAGGTGAATAGTAATTAGTATTTGTGATGACAAGAAGTCTGGTATGACCCTCAGCCACCAGGGGGCAGTATTTGAAATGAGAGCCTTAGTTGGAGCTAGGAAGGGCGGGGCAAGGGATATTGGTCTGTCCTAGCTCCCACCTCCAGGTCCACAGCTGCCTCTCCACTGCCATTGTACCAACTGCTCTAAGAGGGGAGGGGATGGTTTACAACAGGCACGTGGGGATGAACAGGGCCAGCAACCTAGCAATACAAAGCCAACCAGGTTTCAACCCTCAACAGCTTCAACAAAAACCAGAAAGAAAATCAACTCTGAGTAAATTGCTTGGCTAACACCCGAAAAGCCCTATCCCTCCTACCCTATCTGCCAAAACCCCTCTACTTCTCCTCTATTTCTTTGGCGAAGTTCTGAGCCTATGCTAGACAGCACAGGAAGTTGAGGAGAACTTGTTTCAGCCCCGAGTCACTGAGGGAAGAAAGAGCTTCCGGAACCACAAGAATAGTCACAACCAATGTCTGTCATAAGACCGGTGATTCATTTATTCCCTTTACAATTCTTCTCTTTAGTAGTACACTTCAGGCACTCTGGACTCGATGCAGGAAGAACATATTCAGCCCATATTGTCGTGAACACTCTTGTCACTCTCAGCCTGAAGATCTTCAGCACCAAGCCGTCGGCTAGAGGTGAATATCTCAGGAAAAACCCAAAAACGTCCCTTTCACGGACATTAGTTCTCTCCCATTTCACTGAGGCAGCTGTATATCCCTCCCACCCCCACCTCGCACTGCTTCCCCTCATGCCAGAGGCAGGGAGGAGCTGACTAGAAGGTACATTTTCATTTTCCCAAGAGAGCATTCTCTAAGCATCTTCTTGTTGCTTCCTCCATACCCACACTGCACTGTTCTGAATGTTGCCAGCTTAGCCAGTTCTTAGCTACTTCTAGAACATCCTAGAAATGCAAATGTACAGAATGTGTGCTTCTTTGTTACTGTTTTCTCTTACCAGTATGTCTCTGAAACTCATGCATAATGTCATGTATATCAGAGGTTGAACTATTTCATTGCCTAAATTATTCCCCTCCTCCAATGTAAAGTCTCTACAAATCTACTTATACGTGGGTTGTTTTTTTTTTATTTACATATGTGCTTTAATATTTAGGAGTGGGACAGCTAGGTCAAGGGACAGGTGTGTGCTTAACTTTGTGAAATTCCTAGATCTTGCAAGTGTGCATGAGAGCTCCGGTTAGTCCACACATTGTATAAGGAATGTGGTGTTGGGAGAGTCTGATGTTTCAGCTACTCTAGTAAATGCGTGGTGGTCTCCCCTTGAGGTTTGTTTTACACTATCAGTGTCAATCACGTTTCCGTGGGCATTTGTGTCCATTTGTTGTCTTGTAATGAATCTGAAAATACCTTACCCATTAGTAATTATTCAAAACAGACAGAGCCCTAGAACATATTGAACACACCTGTTACCTTTAGCCACTCTTCTGCCACTGGACACTTGGCAGGAGGTAACCCCTTTTGATGGTAGCCTTAGAGGGGAAACTGAAGTTAAAGCCGATGGCAGATCTGAACCTAAAGTCTTTAAAGCCAGGTCTAACATCCTGGGAAAAAGAACTGACTGTCCACTCAGAGACAATTTAACTACGACAGCCTTCATCTGTGGTCGATGATCTGAGGAATGATCGTATAAGTCCTTGTGGAATTTTCTTTAAAAACAATAGTTCAGGTTGTTAGGAGGAAGAGACAGACAAATCTCTATGAGTTCAATGCCAATTCGGTCTGTATAGTGAATTTCCACCCAGCTAGGGCTAAATAGTGAGACTTGTTTCAAAAGAAAGGAAAGAGAGGGCAGAAGGAGATAGAAAAGGAGGGAAAGAGGGAGGGAAGGAAGGAGGGAGGGA